ATCTTTACTGTGAGTCACATACAATTCTAAAAGGAATTTCTAATTCATTTGGGGAGAAACTAGAAACCTCTGTGATCTTACACCTGCTTTTTATTAGTATAGAGCAGGTTCCCAATCTGTTACCTTGGCCATCTGGTTAATCAGCAAATCATGGCTAACTGTACTATTATTCAAAGGAATAGCAGTAATAACTAGAAACCAAGGAAAATGCAGTTTGATATAAACAAAGGTTGTTTTCATTTTATTTATAGTAAATAATAAAATAATTGAACAAGAAAAGGAACTTATTTAAAAAGATAAACAATTAAGAATTCTCAGTCCTACATTGATGTAGAAATAATATGACAATATTAGAAATATATGATAAAATAACTTTTTTTCCTAGTAAAATGGACTACAAAGATTTGTAGTAACTATTTTAGTTGCAACTTACTGTACAAGTATACCTGCAGAATTGCTGCTGCAAAATACAAAATGATCTATTACCAGGATGAGTACAATTAATATAATTTATATGAGAGGAGTACATTATAAAATTACAAAGCCAAAGTCCTATAACAGTATCCAATATATTTTATTATTGAATATGTATCAGCTTATTTCAGATTAAAGACATAGTCCCATCTAGACACTGATTTATTTCCAGAACAACATACATTTTCACCATTATCAAAATTAAATTGGCCTTGTAGCTAATTTTGATTCAGTACTTAATAGCATTAAAATCTATACAAAACAACCTAATTCAAATGTAAAAGCCCTAGCTTTTTCAATGCAGTTTATCATTTCAAAAAACTCCTCCTGAACTTTTAAAAACTATTTTTTAAAAAAATATAGATCACATTCTTTAATAAATAAATTGACTATGGAATAAGGCCGTGGAATTTACTTCAGAGTAAAAAATGAATAGGCTTGTGCTGTTAAAAGTCATATCCAAAACAAACAATAGACAAACCCGTGGACTATTGTGTGGCCAACAGGACACAGCTTTGCCTGCAGGAAAAAGGCTAAAAAGGGGGGGAAAGGGGGGGAGGAGAAAAGAAACCCACACAGAAAATCTTTAAACTTTTGCACCGAATCCAATACTTGAGCTAAGAATCACTTTTAACAATGTGATCATGTTAGCTACCGCAGTAAAAAACAAGGAAGTTCTTGCTTGAGTGCCTCCTAATGAACAAAGGTTAACTTTATCACAAAGGTCAAATGCCTGGTGGCGAAGGTTGTGACCCCAACAACTTAAATGGTGACCTTGCCACGTGCCTAGTATATGGGAGATTCTGATACAGATCATCTGGTTAAAAGACTGGTCATAAATTTCCTGGAGACTTATACTCCCACAAAGAAACAGTTTGCCACAATCATTTCCAACTTGTCATTTGATACTAGGGAAGCAGAATCAAGATATATATAAATTATATATATGTGTGTGTGTGTACATGCTTATGTATATGTATATGTATATTTATACACACACACAAATATCCATTTATTTAGTTAAATAAATAAATGGTTCACAAGAGTTAGCTTTCCTCCCCTCTTCTGTACTGTATAAAATCAGAATAAACATTGAGACCTCTAAGCGAATGACTTAGTGTTTATTTTATATATATATATATATATATATATATATATATATATATATATATATATATATATATATATATATATATAT